GTGTGTCTTGATCATGTTTTTATCCATTCTGCCACTCTCTGCCTTTTGATTGCAGCATTCAGTCCATTTACATTCACTGTAATTACTGATAAGAAGTGACTTACTTCTGCCATTTTATTATTTTTTGTGTGTGTTTCTTAAGCCTCCTTTGGAACCTTGGCGGTGCAGTGGTTAAGAGGTCAGCTACAGCCATTCCTTGGAAACTCTATGGGGCAGTTCTACTTTGTCCTATAGGGTTGTTATGAGTCAGAATCAATTCGTTGGCAGTGGGTTTGGTTTGGTTTTGGTTTTCTCCCCATCCACTTGTGATATTTCTGTTATAGCAGCACTAGATGACTAAGACACCATCTCTGATTCTCTTGACTGCCTCTTTCATTAGTGTTGATTTGGGATCCATGTAAAATGAAATCCTTGACAACTGTAATATTTTCTCTGTTTCTTATGATCTTGCTCATTGGTACAGTTGTGAGGATTTTTGTTTTCTTTACGTTAATGTGTAATCCATTCTGAAGGCTATAGTCTTTGATCTTCGTCAGTAAGTGCATCAAGTCCTCTTTGCTTTCAGTAAGCAAGGCTGTGTCATCTGCTTATCAGATGTTGTTAACGAGTCTTCCTCCAATATGATGCCGTGTTCTTCATATAGTCCATCTTCTCAGATTATTTGCTCAGCATACAGATTGAATAAGTATGATGAAAGGATACAACCCTGATGCACACCTTTCCTGATTTAAACCATGCAGTATCCCCTTGCTCTGTTGGAACCACTGCCTTTTGCTCTATGTAGAGGCTATGCATAAGCACAAGTAAGTTTTCTGGAATTCCCATTCTTTGCAATGGTATCTGTAATTTGTTATAATCCACACAGTCGAATGCCTTTGCATAGTCAATAAAACACAAGTAAACATTTTCTGGTATTCTCTGCTTTCAGCCAACATCCATCTGACAACAGCAATGATATCCCTTGGTCCACATCCTCTTCTGAATCCTGCTTGACTTTTTGACAGTTCCCTTTGATGTGCTACTGCAATCATTTTTAAATTATCTTCAGAAAAAATTTTACTTGCATGTGATATTAATGATATGGTTCAATAATTTCTGAATTCTGTTGGATCACCTTTCTTTGGAATGGGCACAAATATGGATCTCCTCCAGTCAGTTGGCCAGGTAGCTCTCTTCCAAATTTCCTGGCATAGATGAGGGAGCACTTCCAGTGCTGTATCTTGTTTGTTGAAACATCTCAATTGGTATTCCCTCAATTCTCGGATCCTTTTTTTCACCAATGCCTTCAGTGCAGTTTAGACTTCTTCCTTCAGTACCATCAGTTCTTTAAGTTTTTTTTCAATTGTATTTAGGTGAGGGTTTACAGAACAAATAGTTTCTCATTAAATAGTACACATATTGTTTTATGACATTGGTTAACAGCCCCATGACATGTCAACACTCTCCCTTCTGGACTTTTTTTTTTTTTTTTTTGGTGAAAATATATATAGCCAAACATACACCATTTCAAAAATTTCTACATGTACAATTCAGTGACATCGATTACGTGTACTGTCAGTTCTTGATTATATGCTACCACCTGAAATGTCTGTATGTTGACCAATTCTTTTTGGTACAGTGACTCTGTGTATTCCTTTCATCTTCTTTTGATGCTTCTTGCGTCATTCAATATTTGCCCATTAGAATTCTTCAAAATTGCAACTTGACGCTTGAATTTTTTCTTCAGTTCTTTCAGCTTGATAAATGCCAAGCACATTTTTCCATTTTGGTTGTCTCTCTCCAGGTCTTTGGACATTGCATTGTAATACTTTACTTTGTGTTCTTCAGCTGCCATTTGAAATCCTCTCTTTAGCTCTTTTACTTCATCATTTCTTCCATTTGCTTTAGCAGTTTCCGAGTCTCTTCTGACATCCATTTTGGTCTTTCTTTTCTTTTCTTTTTAATGACCTTTGGCTTTCTTCACGTATGATGTCCTTGATGTTACCCACAACTTGTCTGGTCTTTGGTCATTAGGTGTTCATTGCATCAAATCTATTCTTGAGATGGTCTCCAAATTCAGATGGGATATACTCAAGGTCTTATTTTGGCTCTCATGGACTTAGCTTTGTCAGTTCTTCAAGTATTTCATGTTTTTGCCCACACTACTTTCTGCAAAAAACTCTTAGGTAAATGGAGCCTTCAGGCTTTGCTTACCATTTCTTCTCCCTCTCTGTGATAGTTCCTTCTTTCTCCTCAGTTTAAGTAGGATTTGGAAATTACAGATCTCAGTTTTCAACTTTCAGTGGCTCCCAAACACACCAGAGAACACGCTGTGGTCAGTCTGTTCACTATCAGGCATCACCAGGCTCGCGAAATACCGAACAGTAATCAATCTGTCCACTAGGGGTGCAATCCTCTCTCTCTGGTTATTACTCCCTTCCCTTTTCTGTGTCTACAACCATGGTTTCTGTTGGAAAAGCCACGCCCAGCAAGCCCCTTTTAGGGCTGGGTGTTGCCCTCTGATTTTGCCCAAGGCTTTCGTCTCTGCTGTGTTGCTGCTTATATCTGACCTGGCATTCAGGGGAGGCTGAAACAGACTTTCTTCTGTTTCAGAAGTAGGAGGGGCTGGAACTCCCCAGAAGGACCTTGGAGAGATTTCTCTTGTTGGTTTCAGAGCCACAGTGGCCCTGTGTTGGTTGGGGGAACAGTCTCCACTTAGGTGACCTGCCTCTGGCTCCATTTTAGGGATCCTTCTGTAGGAGTCTCTATCAGTTACCAGGTGTCACACTCCAGATGGACCCCTAGGGAGGTCTGCCTTCTTGCTGTGAGAGCCTGCCCTCTACTCCTGAAGCCTGCTTCCTAGAACATAGCAGCCTCTGTCAGCAGTTCTCAGCACCAGCTACAAAGGGGAGATGACAGACCCAAACTGACTCCCAAGGAGATTGTCCAGTTGGTTTCAAAGGCCTGAGCTACAGGGCTCACAGGCTGGCAGGTAGAGTGCTAACTATGGGAGCAGAGACCACTTCATGGGCCTTCTCTAGCAGTTTGCAAAAAAGTGGCAACCAACAGCTACCAGATGGGGAGGTGGTGCCGCACTCCGATTAGATACCTACAAAAGTCTGCTTTGTTGCTATCAGAGCCTCCTCCCCGTCCCCGGTATTGTTAGCTGCGAGTGCATCCTCCACTCAAGACACTTGCTTCCTAGCACAGAGCAGCCTCAGTTGGAAGTTCTCATCACTGGTCAGAAGTGGTGGCAGACTAATCAGACTTAATGTCCAGGGAGGTCTGTCTGTTGACTTCAGAGGCCTGAGCTATGGGATCTGCAGGGAGGTAGGTAGAGTGCTGACAAAGGGAATGGACTCCACTGCAGAGTGCTTTCTGTAGCAATTTGCAGCAGACTTGGAGTTGGCAGAGTCCAGCTGAGGGAGGGGCTGTCATGCTCCAAACAGACCCCCAAGGAGGTTTTTTGGAAATAGATTGCCAGGGTGTTCTTCCGAGGCACCTCCTCCTTTAACAGTGGAGTGTCTAAGCTGCACCACCTAGGGATTCCCTTCGTCTGTTACGTGGAGGTAATTACGCTGCTAATCCTGCAAGGGTTCTTGGGTGTTGAGTGCGATAACGTGTCTATAACCTGAACACCCTCAATCCCTGAGGAGTGAGGAGGGGTATCTTCGTTACCCTGACCCCCCTGCACTGAATTCCTGCTCCTCTGACTCTGTGCTCACAGCTCAGTGCTCAGGCCCGTAGCACCTCTTGGCCTCACTTTACCACTACAGGAACCAGCTTCTTTCCCCCATCCTTCTGTAACACCTGCTGGAAAGCTTCTTACTGGGTGTCACTGCTTTACTCAGGTATGGACACACAGCGGTAGGGAGGTCACACCCACCCTGTTGGCTGATCCACCTCTCGCCTCTTCTGTGCTCTGTCCCATTTGACTTTATGAAGAGAATGGCTTCTATTCCATGAGCGGGGTGAGAGTTTGCTACTAACGTAGAGGACTCGAACAAGAGGAAAATGACTACAGAGGGAAGCGCTGGAGCTGAGGGTAAGGGCTCCACTGAGGCTTTGGGAGCCTGCTTTGCTTTCCCAGTCTGTTTCCCGTAAGGAAAATGAGGCTGACCACAGGGGTGCGCGGGCAGCACGAGGCCAGACCTATATGGCGCTCACGGATGGTGGTGTGTATGTCACGGAGCCTAAGCCCAAGGAACTCAGCTCCGCTTCAACAGAAAAAGTTAGATCAAAAACGGGGTTTTAGCCAGCGCCCTGGGCTGTCCATGCGTGCCAACCGGAACCTCCTTTTCGTAATCTCGCGCGCCGATGGGCGGGGCCCGGAAGTCGTCAGTGAAAGCCACCGCGGAGGCGTTTCCCAGGTGTAGCGTGTGAGGCGGCGAAGGAGACTTCACTCGGGAATCACTACCGCTTTGAAGAATGAGTATTTTAAGAAGAGACTGGAGACGCTGTTGCCCAGTGGCTGTTGTCAGCGTCCATGACCCGCGTGGCTCAGAAGCCGCTCTTGGGACGGCCAATGGTAGCCGCAGGCCGCGAGGATTCTGGGAACTGTAGTTCTGGCGGAGTTCCGCGGCCGGTGACTGCACGGAGCGAGCGAGGCGCTCACGGGTCCTTGAGCTCCGAGCGTCTTTTCCCCGCGGAAAGGAGGGTCAGGAAAGCAGGGGCCTAGCGTTAGGGCCCAAGGTGGAGCTCGGCGGGCAAGGGAGAGGGCCCGACGGCGGGCGGGGGCTGCGCCCTGGAGGTTCAGCGCCTACGGTTCCGGATGCTCCATTTTTGGAGAAGGGGGCGCGGCTGAAGACGCGCGTTTGGGGCAGGGAAGTTGTGCCAAGACCCAGCCTTGACTCCTTGAGTTGTAGGGCGCTCCGCGGACCGTCCGTCTCCGGGTTGGCGCTGGGGCGAGAGAGACCTGGAATTTCGAATTTCCTTTTGGAAAGGGGTGAGATTAATCTGGGACAAACAATTCCCGAAAAGAGAGGGCTGCTCCGGTGGTGCATTCTCGGGGTTGTTCGGGCTGTGGGCAGGAGTGCAGCCAGGGGCAAAAAGACTAACAGCCCTGATGGAGGGGGCGCGGCGAGGGGTATAAAACCCCGGGGCTTTTTGGTGGGGAGCGCTTACTTGGTCCTGTATTTCCGGGTCATGGTGGGAATCCAGGACTTGCCGTGCGTGGCAAGGTTTGTGAGTTTTCGGTGCGGGCTGGGACGTCCCAGGTGGTAGTTGAGTGGAGGGTGGGGGGTTGGTGGTGTCTCAGGACCTGCTGTGCTTTGGTGTGTTGCGGGGGTGCAGGTGATCGGAAGTGAGCTTGATATTGGTGTGGTATCCCTAGGGAGTCGTGGGAGCGTTTTATCGGTCTGGAGTCCCTGGGGCTTTTAGTGGGTGAGGGAGATTTTGGCCTGAGACCGACAGCGAAACGTAGTCTGATGGTGGGAAACTGCACCGTGGGGGCCTGCATCTAGGCAGTTTTTTTCTGAGTGAAGGGCAGGTCGGCTTCTCTAGGACCTGCTGTCCCTGTGACTGCTGGGTGGCAGGGATCCGCTCTACTTTGTGATAAAGATCTCTGCTTTAGTTGTTGTAGGCTGGGTGGCCATTTGGCTTATTTTCCGTCCCCCTGTCTGTTTCTGCCTGGAGTATTGGGGTTCAGCTGGCCACCTCTGGTTTGTGGCTGTGGGGGGGTTAGGTCAGGCGGGAACCTCTGAGGGCTGTTGGCTGACTGTCCAGATGGCTTCTAGCATCACTGGTGGGGTCCAGGTATCAGGACTTTCGTTTTTAATATTTTATTATGGAAAACTTTTAAAACTAATGCTTAGAATAGTACAGTGAAACCCATGAACACATCAACAGATTCAGCATTTATTGATTCGTGGTCAATCTTATTTCATCTACATCCTCTCAACCCTGTGTGGATCCCCTCTGAGAGGTGTTGCACCCCACGGGACGGGTCACTACTGACATTATCACTGGCCTGCCTGGCTACAAATGTGGCACTCCACAGCTAGAGTTCAAATCTACGCACTTTAGTTTTGTCACCCTGAGCAAGATATATGCCCTCTCTGTGCCTCAGTTTATCAAGACCTGGAAGTGTTTCTGGTATGTTTTGTAAGTGTTACTAAATTCAGGTTCCCACCATTCTTGTCCCAGCGGCATTTCATCCTGGCCGGTGGATTCCCAGGACTGTGCCAGCTGCTGTGGAAACGGAAGTAATAGTTGCTGTCATTTAGTAAGTAGTTGTTCTGTGCTGGACGCTGGACTTTGTAGTCACTGCGATATTTGATTTCCTCAGCCAGTTTGAAAGTTGGTAATCAGAACTCCCGTTTTATAGAAGTTAATATGTGTAACATGGCCAGGATCGGGATTGGGAGCTTCATCAATTATGCGTGTTCTCCTATTCCTGTTTCATCCAGTACTTTCCAATCCCCATTTTGTTCTCCCTGCTAGAGTATTTGGAAGCAAATCTGAAACACCATACCATTTCACCTGTAAGTACTACAGTATGCATTTCCAACAGATAAAGATTATTTTTTGAAAATATAGCTATAGTACTGTTATTCCAGTCAACGAAAATAACAGTAATTCCTTAATGCCTTAATACCCAGTTGGTTTTGAATGTTTTCCATTTGTCCTAAAAAATGTCTTTTCACTTCAATCCCTACTGGCTTTCAGCAGTAAGAAGCATGAGTGGTAGGAGCATCTGGAATCAGCAAGGTGAATTCTCCCTTCCGCTTCCGTATTCTTTCCGATTTCCCATCCATCTCGTTAGCTATTGCGTCGTCTGAATTCCACCTTGACAGGTAAACCCCTCGGTTCTTCCCCTCCTTTCATCCGTGTTCCTGTGCTACCCAGGTTGTCATCTCTTCTCCACATTTTCACTTCCCCTCACCCTGCCTTTTGAGTTGTTCCTCTGAGGTAAAAATGATGATGCCACTCACTTCCTAAACAGGGCCATTTCTTATTGCCTACCTCTGACTCTGCCCGAACTCAGTGGTTAACGGTGACGGTTCCTTCCTTTAGGTAGGCCCGGGTGTTGCCTGGGCCTTGGCTTGTAGATGATCCTCACATGGCATCGTCTTCCCACCAGGTGTGCATCTGTATCTGTTCTTTTTTTTAATAACTCAGAAGTGATTATTAGATTTAGGACACACTCTACTATGAGCATGACCTCAACTGGTTGATTGATTACATTGCATTAAAATGCCTTGGAAGGTGATTGCATTATCTTATATGTGTGGTAATTAATTACATTAGATTACATCCACAGGTATAGGGGTTAGGACTCCAGCACATATTTTGGGGGGACATAATTCAGTCCATAACAATTACTCATTAGCGTTAGAAGGAGATTTAGTTCAGATGGCTTTTTACCTTTACTGAGTTCTGTCCTCTGCTGTTTTTATGTATTTATTCTCCTGGCTCCCTCTGTAATGGGTCATCCCAGTTCATTATGTAACTCTGCTGAAGGCCCAAACTGCTGTCAAGCAACCCTCTCTATGTAGTTCTGTCTCCTGAGTCTGCTAACTCCCAAACCACCTTTAGAGCTACGGTTGGTAAAGACTATGCTCTCCTAAGCTCCTGTGGTACATCAACATCCTTTCTAGTTTCCATAATCCCGCCGACACCTTTGTAGATAGTCCCTTTAGTAAACCCTCCCCAATTACCTAGCTGAGTTGCCATCTTTACCTGGCTTATTTGGGGACAGTGCACTTTAAAACATCTATGTTAATGATATTGGGACCAAGGAAATGATATACCTGGAAACTCTTGAGATAAAATACCAAGAATTTAGAGAATGTTCCTATCAAAAGTTTTCTGTAATTCAGTAGCAGCTTACAGAAGATAATGTACTTGAAATATTTTTATTTTTATAAGGAAATAGATTTGTCACAATGGACTTGGCAAACAAAAGGGGAAAGTGAGATTTATCTAGATGTGCCCTATATGAGTTATGTCCTTTGCCATCTCTGAGTTTCTTATACTGAAATGAAACTAACATAAGGTTGCTGTTATGGGTTGAACTGCGGCCCCCTAAATGTGTTTCAAGTTGGCTAGACTATGATTCCCAGTATTGCATCCTTGTCCACCATTTTGTGATCTGATGTGATAATCCTGTGTGATAATCCTGATGTGATAATCCTGTGATAATCCTGTGAAATCCCAATCTCTGCCTGTGGTTAATGAGGCAAGATTAGGTTATGTTAAAGGGGGGTTTCACTGGGGTGTGGCCTGCATCACCTTATATCTTAGAAGAGATAAAAGGAGAGGGAAGGAGGGAACTCATACCCCCAAGAAAGAAACATCAGGTGCGAAGCACTTCCTTTGGACCTGGCATCCTTGCTCTGAGAAGCTCCCTATCCAAAGGAAGATGATGGCAAGGACCTTCCCCCAGAACTGGCAGAGAGAGAAAGCCTCCCCTGCAGCTAGTGCCCTGAGTTTGGATTTCTAGCCTCCTCGACTGTGAGAGAATAATTTTCTGTTAGTTAAAGCCATCCTCTTGTGGTATTTCTGTTATAGCAGCACTAGATGACTAAGACAGTTGCTATGAGTTGGAATCGACTCGACAACAGTGGGTTTGGTTGTGGGTTTAATAGAAGGTCACACCCATGGCATGTTGTCATCTAGAATTTTTTGATGCAAGTTGTGCTTACAGTGTTTATTTTCTGCAGGTTTCATGTTATATTTTACAGTCACAGATAGTATTTCATCCATGAAGTGTTTTATACTGTAGTGAGAGAGAGAATGATGTACACTGGCATGAAAATAAGACAGTTCATTTATCTAGGAAATAACAATAAACAGATAAAAGTTGCTGTTTTAGAGTTATATATGTTATAAATATTTAAATCTCTTTAAACCCTGTTTCCTCCCAGTGTTTTCTTATGATGCTGTTCATGCTTACAGAAAATTGAAAGGTATGTTACACTGAATGTCTGTATGCCCCCCTACGTGAATGGATAGATACGTGATGAAGCAAACAGGGAAAAATGTAAATAATTGGATCACAGTTGTCAATGGAGAAACTCTGGTACTTTGTTAGGAGTAATCAAGAAATGTTATGGAGGAACAGAATAGTTGTTGCTGGGCAGCATAGTATAAAATTACAGTGTGCTCCCGTGTTCAGAAGGAGATACATGTTTTTTATACAGGAAAACCATAAGCATATCTTTCTCTTTCTAACCACAAGCGTATCTTTGTGCATGCTTTATCTTCACCACAGTTGGTTCTCTTTCCTGTTTTTCTGCTTTCACGGTTTTTCTGTTTTAGAAGTTATGGGTTATGTATTCGGAAGAGAGCAGAAACAAACACAAAATGGATTCTGATCCAGACCTGTGTGAGCCATGTCAGTTATGCCGCGTGCCTCCGTTAGAGTGCTCCTGCACCTAGTTTCACAAGAAGATTTTCTCAGGTAAATGTTTCTAAATTACCAGTTTATTAGAAGAATGGAGGTTCCTCCTCCCATCCGAGGGTACAATCACCACAAAGTTGTAGTAAAGCAAGAAGAAAGATTGTATTCGGTATGTGTTCCAGGAGGCAAAAGTGAGAAATGGACAAGCATGCTGCCAGAGCCATGTCTGCCCGAGTCCAAGGAATGTTACAGAATCATTAGTATATATTAACATTACAAATGGGTAAAATCATTAAAAGTTTCACAGTTTCAGAGATTGGCTAAAAACTTCCAAAATCACTGTGATTCTACATTTTGAATTCTCTTTCTTAGTAATCATTGGTACAGATTTCAGTAATGACAGAAGGGTCTTCTTTGGTCTAACACATCTTACTATTCGCTAAATGCTAATAGAAAAGATAGGAGTGGAAAATATGTGGGTTTTTTGTGCTCTGTCTAACCTTTGTTTATGTGAAATGTTCCCTAAAAGATGGTTTCCGTTTTGGCCTAGGTATTGCTTTTGTACCTCAGGGCCCAGTTGATGTGTCCTCGTGAGTCCTTGTTGCACCAGCTCGGTCACGTTCTTTATACTTGAGGACAGGGAATAATGGCTTCAATTTTACCTCCTACATCACTCCCTTAGTAGATTTTCTCATGTTATTAAACGGTCCTGTTATTTTTGTAATAAAATATGCTCGGTCATGATGTACTATAATTTTTGAAGGTACAGCTGCGTTCAGTTTGCTAGTGTTTTGTTTAGGACTTTTGCATCTGTGTTTCTAAGTGGAATTGACGTCTTGTTTTCTTTTTCTCTAGCGCTCTTGTTTGCTTTTGGTGTCCTTGATGAATGAGTTAAGAACTATTTCTTCTTATTTTTTAATGCTTTGTTGTTGTTATTAAGTGCTATCAAGTCAGTTTTGCCCCATAGTGACCCTGTGCCCGACAGAAGGAAACACTACCCAGCCCTGCGCCATTCTTAGAGTTGTTGCTGTGCTTGAGCCCATTGTTATAGCCACGGTGTCAGTCTGCCTTGTTGAGCCTCGTTCTCTTTTTCCCTGACCTCCTACTTAATGCTTTGGGGCACTTAATATTTAGCACAGGAATCACCTTTCCCCTAAACTTTGCTAAAACTGGCCAATAAAATTGTCTGAGGCTTATGCCTTTTGGAGAGTGATTCTTTAACTGCCTTTTCATGGTCTTCTTTGGTTAATAATGTATATATATTTTCCTTCCCCATTTTTTGAGTCTGTTTTAGAAAACTTGGATTCTCCTAGGAAATTACCCATTTCTTCCAGATACTTTAAATCACACAGTTGAACTGATACAATTTTAAAATCTCCATTTGTAGACATGTTACCTTTTTAGTCCTGAGACAGTCAGCCTTAATGTTTTCTCTGTCTGTAGTGAAATGAGTTCCTTCATGTGGCCTTTTGTCTTGGTTCTCTGGAAAAACAGCTTGGCAGAACCAAGACTGAAGGAGAGCCCCTTTTGGGAAGCTGTGGCTCTCATGGCAGAGGGAAAAGGACAGGAGAGGTGGTGGGGTCCTGCAAGGCTTAGAAATCACACCTTTGCTTTCACTCACATGCATTGCCCAAGGCAAGTCACAAGGTCAAGTCTGATGTCAGGAACCAAAGCCAACCCAACCCCGTTGCCATTGAGTGGATTCCAACTCATAGCGACCCTATAGGACAGAGTAGAACTGCCCCATAGGGTTCCCAAGGAGTGGCTGGTAGATTCGAACTGCCAAACTTTTGGTTAGCAGCAGAACACTTAACCACGGAGCCACCAGATGTCAGGGGTAGAGAAGTATAATCTTTTTACAGAGAAGCAGATAGTAGGTGAAAATGATAAAATGTGCCACAAAGGCCTGTTTTATCCTAATTACTAGGATTAGCAAAATGATCGGGATGCATTTCTTCTTACAGGGAGTTCACATTCTAGTAGAAACAGTCATTCGAGTAAAAATTATGATATGTTTTTACCAAAGTGACGTGTAGGATTAGACAGAAGAGGGAGTGAGCAGCTCTGCCTGCGTGTTGGGGGATGAGTCAGGAGAGCATCTTAGGGGAACCCCAGCTAGCCTTAGAGGGTACTTGGCAGCAGTAAGGAGCCCCTGGGTAGCGCAGATGGTTAAGCTCTCTACTGCTAGCTGAAAGGTTAGCAGTTCAACCTCACACAGAGGCACCTTGGAAGACAGGCCTGGCAATCTGCTTCCGAAACATCACAGCCTTGAAAACCTTATGAAGCAGTTCTAGTTTGCACACATGAGGTCACCGTGAGTGGGAATCGACCTAACGGCAGCTAACTACAGCAACAAGGCAGCAGTAGGACTGTAGGCATGTGGGCTACGGTCCTGGCCAGGGAGTCTGAGGAGCTTCTAAAGGTGCCATAGCTCCTAACACCATCTGCCTCCTCTGGATCACATGAGTGGAGGACTTTGACTGATAGGGTCATGTGGCATACACACACAGAATGGAAGGTGGGGTGTTATCTTTGTAGAAGTCATTGTGAGGCCTGGAGGGACTCAGTTCAGACCCCCAAACTCCTCAGAGTACAGGGACATGGGGAGTTGAACACAGCTGGGAACTTGGCTAGGGGGGTCAGAAGCTGACTGCCGCATGCCCTGATGGGTCTGGAGGGAGCCGTTAGAGGCTCTTTCCCCACAGGCCTTAGACTATATTGCGTCTTCTCTCTGACTCTGGTAGCAGAAACTGGTCTGGAATGTGGAGCTGAAATCTGAAGTGCGGGGGCAAGTGGGGTGCAGTAAATTGTGACAGGTGAGGGAGAGGGTCAGGAAACAGACGTAAGGGCTTGTAGGCCAGAAGTGAAAAAAGGTAGAAAATCCAGAGGAGCCGAGTAGACTGAGATTCTGTGATTGCTGAGTGAGGAGGGTGAGAGAGGACAGGACCCCTGCTGAGGAGGCATGGGTTTAGCACACAGGGAAGGATCCAGCAGCATCAAGTTGCTTTTCCACCCACAGGTCCTGGATGCATGGAGACAAGAGGGCTTTCATAATGAGGTTTGAAGCAGGCCCCCAGGCAGCAGAAATCCATCTTGAAGTGAAATAACTTCCGACTGGCCCTGTGGCAGAATTTCAAGGCAGTCACTGGACTGACTGGGGCCATTATGTTGCCTGATCCTTCAGACCGGGGAGAGCAAGACTGGGAGAAGACTTTGACTTCAAAGAACAGGGAAGATGTGGAGACTATGAAGAAATTGACTCCAAAATATGAGGCTAAAGGTGAGAGTTGTGGAGGGTGTGGAGAGGTGAAGGGGGTCCAAGGCTCCGGGTTCAGGTGAGAATGCTTCAGAGGCCACAGCTGAGTGAAGTGGCTGCTTCCTTCCATCCCAGGGTTCAGAAGAGCTACTCTGGGAGCGTTCTGGGAGGTCTTCTTTCTCACAGCTTCTCTTTCTCTCTTAGGTTTGTCTTCTAAGGATATTGACTGGCCCCAAGAGAAGAGGAAGCCCACAATGCTGGTGAGTTGGAGTTACCTTATTTTTCTGAAATACTGGCTCCTATGCAAGAGCATAGGTCTGTATTCTCTGTCTTGGGAAGGGAGAAGGCCGTCAACATTGAGGCCTTTTATGCCTTCATGTGAGGTACCCTGTTAGGTATTTTAGAATGGGTTTTCCATTTTTGTATTTTTTTTCTTTTGTATTGTTGAAAAATATTCCCAAGATTAATATTCAGAATCCAGGAAACTCAAAGGCGTAAGGAACATTTTTGATAAACTGAGATAATTAAACTTTTAAAATATAGTATTAAATTTCACTACACATACACGTGCATACTATCTGATGATAGCATCTTGTATACTGGGCATGTTTTTACTTTTTAAGCACTGAGGTTGTTAAACATACAGAAATGGAGAACATAGTAAAAATAGATTCTGAGATATCATCCTGTAGCTTCAATAATCGTCTATCATGACCCGTCTTATTTACAGGAATATGATAGTGTGTTGATCAGTCTCAAAATGTAAAATATCAGAATATCCACTTTTCTCTTTCTCTGTTCGGTTCTGACAGCAGCTGCCCACACAGCACGGCCTTCTCTGACCCTGGCCACCTGGAGCTGGGTCAGTCTCAAAGTTAAAAGGTACTGTTCTTCACACTGCCAGATAGGCAGATGCTAGCCGCAGTTTGAGAGTCCACATGACACCCTCACTTCTGACCTGCTGACTAGAAGTTTAGGGTGTCTTTTATCCCTTTGGGATGCCAGTTGCAAAATTGGGAGTCACTGCCATGAGCTCCCTTCCTTCTGACCTGCTGGCTCCACTACTCCTTTGGGTTTGATAATTCACTGGAATGACCCACAGAACTCACAAAAAGGGCTGTATTTATTATTACAGCTTTGTTATAGCAAAAAGGAATGTCAATAAAGAGATGCATAGGGCAGGATCTGGAAGGTTCCCGGTGCAGAGCTTCCATGTCCCAAAAAGGGACGTGCTGCCATCCATGTGCGTGGATGTCTGTCACCAACCAGGAAGCCCATGCAGCTTCTGTGTCCAGAGCTTTTGTTGACTTTGTTACATAGTCGTGATTGATTGCATCATCCTCCCCCCGCACCGAGCTCAGCTGCACTTTGAGAGAAGTGATATGATTCGTTATACTGATCTTGATGCACGTCAGTGTTCATGAAGCAATCTGTGAACTGAAGAGCTAGCAGAAAGTTTGTACTTTATGCAATTACTCACAGTTAGTGTACCACAGCAACTAAAATTTAAACCATTTTTTGGGGGACTAGGGATATTTATAACCCTCTTGGGTCGCTATGAGTCGGAATTGACTCAACAGCAATGGTTTGAATTTTTTTAACAGTCATTTAACTAAACCATGGTAACTGAAATCCACGCATATTGGAACTGTGTAAAATGAGGAGTTCCTGTATTTAAAGTGGGTGAATTATAAAGCAAATGGATTGTAAATTATCTCAGTAAAGCATTTGTAGGAGCCCTGGTGGTACAGTGATTAATCGCTCAGGAGCTAACCAAAAGGTTTGAACCCAGTAGCCCCTCCTGGAGAGAAAGATGTAGTGGGCTGGTTTCATAAAGATCACAACTTGGAAACCCTATGGGGCATTTGTACTCTGTCCTGTAGGGTTGCTATGACTTAGTGGTAAGAGGTTAAAGTGTTTATTTTGTTTTTTAAAGATTAAGTTATCTGTAAGTGTCCGTTTTCTGGAATATTACTGCCATTCTCTTGCTATCTGTTTTGCATAGATGACCTACTACTCTACATGCTGAGTGAAATGTTAAGGACTTTATTAGAAAAGGTTATTAAAATACATGCACAAAGATAGTGATTTCACAGATCCCATTTAGTTCCTGAACTCTGCAGAAGTGCTCCCTCCATACCGCATCTGTTCACTCCCACTTTTCTCTGTAGATGAAGTTTCCTTCCATCTTCTCCTTTAAATCTTCACCGTCCCTTAATGCCTAGCACAAGCCCCACCTCCGTGACGCCTTTTGTTCTTTTCTACCCCTTCCTGTACTCTCCCATCTTTGAATTCCTCCGTTAAGAATTCTGAAAGTCACTTTCTTGAATACTGCTTAATACTTTCAAGTCGATTCACAAATCATTCCTCCAATGAAGTCGTTCGTGTTTGAGGGCTAGAATGGATTCTGTGCATCACTTGTGCTCCCCACAGATTTTATCACAAGGCCAGGTATTCAGTCGTGTCCAGGAAAACTTGACGTGGGGAACTGTGTTCTCTGAAAAGACTTAGATGAACTTCTTCAGATCCAGACTCTTCAGAGCCACCAGTTAAACTCCTCTCATTGGGAAAATTGATGGTGATTTGCTGTGCATTGATTTACTGCTTATTCTAGGAACCAGTTACATTCGAGGATGTCACTGTGGTCTTCACGGAGGGAGAATGGAAGAGACTGAGCTCTGAGCAAAAGCACCTATACAAAGAAGTGATGCTGGAGATTTACAGGAATCTGCTCTCGTTGGGTGAGGATGTGCTCTTTTCTTTTCCTTCATTAATTCAGTAGATATGTATTGGGCAGCTGTTATATGCCAAAGAAGCCCTGGTGGTGCAGTGGTTAAGCACTCATCTGCTAACTGAAGGGTTGGCAGTTCAGACTGACCAGATGCTCCATGCCAGGAAGATGTGGCAGTCTGCTTCCATAAAGATTTACAGCCTTGGAAACCCTGTGGGGCAGCTCTAGTCTGTCGTATAAGGTTGCTATGAGTCACAGTTGACTCAACGGCAAAGGGGTTTTTGGTGTTCTATGTGCCAGAGGTTCCTGGGTGGTATAGACAATTTGCACTTCACTATTAACCTGTAGGTTGGTGGTTCACACCTGTTCAGTGGCAGCATAGAAGAAAGGTCTGGCAGTCTGCTTTCAGGAAGATTACAGCCAGTAAAACCCTATGAACCAAATAAAATAAAAGCTCTGTGCCAGATAATGTTCTAGACAGTCAGAACACATTAGTAAATGTAATAGTTGGAAATCCCTGCCCTCACTGGGCTTACTTTCGAGTATAAGGAGACAGGCAACAAACAGTACACTCTGTAGATGGAGGCATTACGGTCTGGTGTGCTAAAAGATGACAAGTGCTATAAAGTGAGAAACTAGGAAAAACAGAGCGGGAGAAGGGGTATCGAGTGTGACAGGGTGGCTGGTTCAAGTTTGAAATTGGTATTTGAAATTAGCGAGGAGGTAACACATGACCAAAATTCCACTGTGCCTGCAGGCATGCCACTCTGGCCCCCAGCCTCTGCCCTACTTGGGCAGGTGTTGCAGAGCTTTTTTAGTTCTGCTGGGGATAAGTGCCTAAAGGCACCCCACTCCACCAGTAAGCCTTGGGCCCAAAGACGCTCAGCTGTGGATACCTGGGTCAGCAAACCTAGCTCTGCTAAGTGCCTGGAGGCACCCTGCTCCACCAGCAAGCCCCCTGTCCAAAGGCACTCAGCTTTCTCACTCCGTGGGCCGGATGTCCACCATGCTGTGTCTTGCTGGTCTCTCTTCTGCTTCCCGCCATCTTCAGTCTTACGGATCTCTCTCTCTGTCTCCTGGTTCCTGGGCATAGCTAGTCAGTGTAATATAGATTATATTTTTATTTTTTTGTGGGTATAGTATTGTCTTTCTCTATGTTAATACATGTGATTGGTTCAGAGGAAAATTGTCTGGTTCAAATTAATATTGACATTGAAAGCCTGGATCCAGTTGCATTTCCTGACGTGTTTTCCTTTCTCTTCTTCGACACCACAGTATCCGGACTTCTCTAGTCTCTTGTGTCTACTTTTGAGTTCTTCTCTCATTTCTTTCTCTTTTCTTCAGACTGTAGTGGTCCGTAGGACTTAGTGTCATAGGCTCTTTTCCTGTGTCTATATTCACACTCTTAAAAAACTTGTGAACTTTAATGTTTTGACCATCACATATTATGATGAACCTGTTTTCTCTCTGTCACTGTCTAACTTGTATTTCTACTTGCCTACAAAACATTAAAAGTTTATTCTCAAACTTAACAGAATTTAGTATATTTTTCCTCCTAAACCAGTCTCTTTTTCTCTATTTCTTAATATGTTCATGTTATGATGTCTTTTCTTCAAGTGCACTGTTAAAACTAAATGGGCTAATTCTCCCTAAAATAATTTGTATACACTTCATAGCAGAGAGATTTAAGCCTTGGTGGCGCAGTGGTTAAGAGCTCAGGCTGCTATCACTAACCAAAAAAAATCAGCCGTTTGAATCCAGCGAGTACTCCATGGTAACCCTATGGGGCAGTTCTGCTGTGTCCTGTAAGATCCCTATGAGTCAGAAGCACCTTGACGGCGATGGGTTTAATGGTTGGGCTAGGTAATTTTGTAACACAAACCCCAATAATTTAATGACTTATAACAACAGATGATCATTTCTCACTTACATTATCTGATGGCTACAGTTCAGGTGAAACTCAGCTCACTGGTTTTTGGGATCCAGGCAGGAGCAGCCTCTCTCTGGGTCATGGGGTTGTCAAGACAGAGGGGCAAAAAGCAATGATGGAACCACACTGTGGCTGCTAAAACTTGTTTGAAAGTGACACTGAATTCCACTGTTGTTCATTGGCCAGGCAGATCACATAGCTGTGTCTAATGGCATTGTGGTACGATAGATAGTTCTTCAGGAATGTTGGGCTCAATGGGGAGGGGCATCAGATAATTTGACAATACAGTTTATGGAAGGATGGGAAGCTTGAGCTGAATCTTAACAGAGGATTAGGATTAAGGCCCCCGGGTGGTGCAGATGGTTTAAATGCTCACTGCTGTCCATAAGGTTGAAGGTTCAAGTCTGCCCAGAAGTGCCTTGGAAAAAAGTCTTGGCAGTCTACTTCTGCAAAATTAGCCATTGAAAACCTTATGGAGCACAGTTCTCCCCTGACACATATGGGGTTGCCATGAATCAGAATCAACTTTGAGGCAACAGGTTTGGCTTTTTTTGTTTAATGGGGGTCAAGGTAAACATAGGAGCTCCAGTGGCCCAGTG